AGAGAGAAACAGAAAAAATAGCATATTTATTTTTGGATGGGCTGTTTTCTATATTGTTACGGTTGCACACTTGTATCATTAGTGATACTGGGCGGCTGTGGTCAGTGTTGAGGAGTAATGGATTACATGTAACAGCGTTACGTAATCAGGATACATAAAAAAGTAACTGTATTCTGTTACAGTACAGAAAATAACGACGTAATCAGATTAGAGGTACATTTAAAATCTAGGATTACTCACAGAGATTAGCCTCCGTACATTTTTTTTTCTACAGTATGTGTTTCTGTAAGTTGAAAGGGAGGTGTTGCAGGCATTGGTTGACGTTTACAGTCGCCAGCAGTGCAGAATGTGCGTTTCGCCCCCACCCCGTCATGCAGACTCTGTGCGGACTGGCTCCAGCTCCCAGTGAGTGAACACGGCTGCTGGACCGGGCCGAATGCAACCTCCGAGACCAACAGAGGCCATTTTGACCACTGGGAATACAGTACCAAGGTGGTTTTCTTGCCGGGTTTTGCGCTTGGCACCCCGGGGCTGAGTAAGCTAATAGGACCGCTAACAGCACGGCTAACCGACCAAGCTAACCAGCCACAGATACAGGCAGATAGAATACAGTTAGCGGTTTAGCAAAAAGTATCTATGAAGTTCTTTTGTCCATCAAGAAGCTCTGTGTAAATCAGCTCAGTCCTGGATTCCCTGTTGCTCTTTGGGGCTGTTTTGGGTCCTGTTGATACCGTGTTCACAGGACACCTGCTGAGTGAGGTTTCGTTGCACGCTTGCCCAGCTGTGGTTCGCAATCAGGCGCTGGTACCTGCTAAGTCCCACTGCCCCTGTCCTGAAAGCGCTTGAGTATAGGTGTAAACACCTTTAAACAGTCTACAGTAACCACTGAAGCTGATGATACACGGGGATTGCTCTAAAAGTTGCTCTGTGTATCATCAGCTTAACACTCCCCCCGGAGTTCCCAGTGCGGGCGGAGTAAGCTAATTTGACCAATAGTTGCACAGGTAACTGACCAAATGAGATAATGGCAGCTAGTTAGCTATTAACTTACTTCAGCAACGAGTAAAGCTATTTGTCAATAAGGAAACACTATGCTTCAGCAGCTTCATGAAAAGTGAGAAAGATTTTCATTGAATGCTAAATTAATACAGGCCCCCGAGTGCAGGATGAGTCATCAACATTTTAAAATAATTAATTAACAAATAATATTATAAACTGCCATATTGGTGATGTATAGTGCAAGGCATATCATAATAAAACATTTAAATATCGATTTTTGGGTTCATGGGAATGGAGATACTCTGAGCAGACAAGTCCATTTGGTATAAAGTAATCCAAAACAACTATAAGTAATAAGGTTACATTACTTTTGTATTGTGGTACTCGGATTACGTTACTTATTACATTTTTTAACAAGAAATTTCTTGTATCTTAGAAGAGACTTCCTTGTTTGCGTCCGGGAAATTACTACAGCAGGACGCTGTCAGATGAAAAATAACAGATGTTGTCTTGGGGCACTGTCTGAAACGACTGATGCTAGTTTCTACTTGCAACAAGCGAGGAGTCTTCAGACAGACAGGAAGCGGTGACGACAGGTAGTGGGCAGCAAACACACATGAAAGATAACCTGAGATTTTTCAGCGTACACAGAATATAAATAAAACGATTACAAGGTTCACTTCTAAAATGTAATCTTTCCAAAGTAAAAAGGAACAAAATAGTTAGATTAAACTCACCACGGGTGCTGGCAGACGACCGGCAGACGCTCAACAACACTGAAACAACACTGTCACTGTCAGATCACTGTGTGTGTGTGTGTGTGTGTGTGCACGAACACATACATTGCACACCGAATTACACTCTGAGTATGTGTGTTTGTGTTTCTGTTTTCCATACTTACAGAGGAAAAGCTGAGTCGCCTTCATAGTTCATGCGGGCTGAAGCTTCACTGACCATCTGGTAGCAACTGGGGTGACAACATCCTCTTGAATCAACCACAGGGAGGTGTAGATCAGAAGGGGATGTGAGAACAGTAAACAGAAGAGTGAATATATATGTATATATATATATATATATATACACATATATATTTCTCATTAAAAGCGGCCTCATGTTTTGACACCTCAGGATAAAAGAACAGACAGCTGCATGCAGGCGCTTCAGTAAATAGTTTTATCAAAAGTAATCGACTTCAGTTCATTAAAAGCTGAGTTTCTCTCATCGTCTCTCTGCTTTTATATGTCACCACACTGGCTGTCCCTTCTAACTGAACTAATTACATTACAAACCCGTTTACTCGACTTGACTGCTGGTGATATCAGGTCTTGATATATATTTTGAATCTAGACCTCTAAATATATTGAGTATTACGTATGAGTTTTTGAGGATTGAGTGTTGCATCATGACAGTAGCAGCAAGTCTGCACGACAGACAACAATAGTTGAGTCGAGTCGATGAGTCATTGCATAGTTATAAATATGAATGGGATTTTTTAGGAGGTTTTCTTGCTTCTTCTTGTTGGGGGTCAGTTATTTAAATGTTGTGGTGAAAAGTTAAAAAAAGTAAATTTAAGTTCTGTATCTATTTCTGCAGGCAGTTTATACCTTCACTATCAACCAACAAGTCCTCCAACCTAAATGACAACATACACTCACCTAAAGGATTATTAGGAACACCTGTTCAATTTCTCATTAATGCAATTATCTAATCAACCAATCACATGGCAGTTGCTTCAATGCATTTAGGGGTGTGGTCCTGGTCAAGACAATCTCCTGAACTCCAAACTGAATGTCAGAATGGGAAAGAAAGGTGATTTAAGCAATTTTGAGTGTGGCATGGTTGTTGGTGCCAGACAGGCCGGTCTGAGTATTTCACAATCTGCTCAGTTACTGGGATTTTCACGCACAACCATTTCTAGGGTTTACAAAGAATGGTGTGAAAAGGGAAAAACATCCAGTATGCGGCAGTCCTGTGGGCGAAAAGGCCTTGTTGATGCTAGAGGTCAGAGGAGAATGGGCCGACCGATTCAAGCTGATAGAAGAGCAACTTTGACTGAAATAACCACTCGTTACAACCGAGGTATGCGGCAAAGCATTTGTGAAGCCACAACATGCACAACCTTGAGGCGGATGGGCTACAACAGCAGAAGACCCCACCGGGTACCACTCATCTCCACTACAAATAGGAAAAAGAGGCTACAATTTGCAAGAGCTCACCAAAATTGGACAGTTGAAGACTGGAAAAATGCTGCCTGGTCTGATGAGTCTCGATTTCTGTTGAGACATTCAGATGGTAGAGTCAGAATTTGGCGTAAACAGAATGAGAACATGGATCCATCATGCCTTGTTACCACTGTGCAGGCTGGTGGTGGTGGTGTAATGGTGTGGGGGATGTTTTCTTGGCACACTTTAGGCCCCTTAGTGCCAATTGGGCATCGTTTAAATGCCACGGCCTACCTGAGCATTGTTTCTGACCATGTCCATCCCTTTATGGCCACCATGTACCCATCCTCTGATGGCTACTTCCAGCAGGATAATGCACCATGTCACAAAGCTCCAATCATTTCAAATTGGTTTCTTGAACATGACAATGAGTTCACTGTACTAAAATGGCCCCCACAGTCACCAGATCTCAACCCAATAGAGCATCTTTGGGATGTGGTGGAACAGGAGCTTCGTGCCCTGGATGTGCATCCCACAAATCTCCATCAACTGCAAGATGCTATCCTATCAATATGGGCCAACATTTCTAAAGAATGCTTTCAGCACCTTGTTGAATCAATGCCACGTAGAATTAAGGCAGTTCTGAAGGCGAAAGGGGGTCAAACACAGTATTAGTATGGTGTTCCTAATAATCCTTTAGGTGAGTGTAGGTTGTATTAACCAGCCTTCAAAAAAAAAGTCACATGAGCGTATCCTAAAATAGCGGCCAACCTACATTTTGAAATCATGTGATCTACGTCAATGGCATAAACATGTGGAGAACACAGCGACACAAAGAAGCCAATAATTAAAGAAGGTAAACCCTGCACAACTGTTGGGTTAACCAGTCGACATGCACAAAAACACTGACTTAGGTTTAGGCACTCACCCTTACAAAGCTAACATTGCTAATGTAGCTAATGCTAAAAAGCTAATGCCACAAAACTAACTCAGCTAATGCTTAGCATAACATAACTTTGTTAAATAAATAAATCTGCCAAACACCAGTCTCATAGGAAATGGCCGAAAAACTTTCTATCCTTCCACCCTACCCACCACCCCTGAAACTCCACTTTCTGGTTATTTTATAATATGTCACTGTCTTTGTCACATTTTTGCGTTGTATGGCCACTAGAAGTCACTGCCACAGTAAATGAGTCGTAATTTTGTGTGGCTAAAACAACTTTCATAGTCATTTTTCTGTGGAGGACAGGTTCCTGTCTACAGGTAAACCTCACATCATTCTGATCTAAAGGGTGTTGGGGTGCTACACTACCAGTAGTGATGCTACTTCTATCAACACTAAACTAATAAATGTTACTGCCATTATTGCAACTAGTACTGCTTTTACTGATGCTCGACTTCTGTTGTGGTTTATAACTTGTTGAAACTGGTTTCTGTCTGACTCTATGTGACACTCTTGTGACACCAGCAGCAGAGAAACAGGAAACACTCACTGACTGATAATGATAAAGCTATACTGAAGCTGTGTGTCTGATAACATTGTATTTTATCACATAAGTTTTATTTTGTTCAGTCATTGTGTCAAATACATGCAGTATAGATTGTGAATGCAAATTGCATTTGCAAATAACTTCATTTCTGAACATCTAAAACTGAAAGATCTTTAATCTGCTTTTTGTTATCTAGAAAGTCAGAAACTTTTGTGGTTCAATCTGAAAATTATCTGAGCTGCAGAAATGTTGATTGAATGTGTATTTGAGACAGTGGCTGCTGACTTTTTCACCTTATTATTCACAAGCTACTTTATCCAAATATCTGAGTTAACCCTGGCCCTGACTCACAACTCTAAAGCTAATTGGCTTTAATCATTGATCAGATATTCAAAGTTTAACCGGGAGATGCTCCTGTAAGAGTCTCCACTCTGTCGAAAACAAAATCCATTCGATGATCCTCACAAATTATCTTTGTGTCTCTAAATATTTTCTACATTGATCTTTGCTTAAAAGAGCGAGGAGACCTAAAAGTTTTGGTAAGGAACCAGGATCGTGGAACTGACTAGTGAAGCCCATCCTACACCAGATTTCATCCCCCCAATCATTTTGATGAAGCAGGATGCAATGTAGGGCTTACTGGTCATGAATTTATTCTCATTTGAAGATACTTAACTCTCTGATGTCTGAATGCAGCTGACACACAGTGTAGACAGTGGGTAATTTAGATGCATTTTCTCTGAATCAATTACAGTTGTTCTGTTGATCAAAGGGTATTGTTCCAGAAATACAGACGAAATAGTGCTTTGTCTTAAATGAAGAGGGCACGTTGTAATTTTATTGACAAGGATTTATTGAGCCATTCATTAAAGGCACATGGTGTATGAAAGAACGATTAAAAATTCACAATAATTCTTGGAAATGTTCATTAGTAGGACAGGGAATTACAGAAATGAAGTATAATAACAATAACAGAAAACACATATAAATAGTAATGATAAAATATTATACTTAATGATTACTGATAATCTAATAAAAGCAGCCAGTAAATCTCAAAAGAGCTGGACACATCTGGTTAATTTCCTTAATATTTCATCATTAGCCTGGTTTGGATTGATTGCATTTAAATAGTGTCAACCTGTTAGCTAACTGTTTCACCTGCGAGGCTAATTAAACCCAAACAGGCAATATACCCAAACAGAACTATTTGTTGTTTGGTTAAACAACAAACAAACAATCCTAAATTCACACCAACTTCACAGTGAGATTAGTCAGCCATGTAAAAGTGAGAAAGTACTATGTACAACTATTTGTCACTTTCCACACAAACAAAGAAGTGAAACACTGTGACTATCTTCCGAGAGAGGCTGAAAATGAGCTGTTATCTCAATCACATCTCCCACATCTCTGTGACAGCTTTCCACCCGCCCTTCGAGCTCTGAAGAGCTATAAAAGCTTCACCACAAAAGCTTACCCCAGTCCGATTAGCATGCTGTCTAAAGTAGCTGCCAATCCCCAAATGATGAATTACCTTACCTGTACTCCACTTCACATATGCAAACAAAAAATATGAACAATAACTGAAATTAAAACGTGACAAATGTGTGACAAATAAACAATTACTACTTACTTACTACTTTGAGGAATTAATAAATATAGGATGCTACATGTGCATTAGCTAGCTAACTCATTGTGTATAAATTGTATTGTGATTTATCACATAAATACACATTTATGTCAACATCTAATTTGTTATAATGACTGGGAAAGCTCTTATATATCCAACTTAGAGCTAAACTATCCAGAATTACCTGACATTTTTAACAAATATGGACCTCTCATGTCTTTCCTAATAACACTACCTGTAAAAAAAAAAAAATATTAATAATAATAATAATAATAATAAGCTAAGACGACATTAAAAAAAACATACACTTATAATCACAAGCAGACAACACAAAAACATGGATAAAACATTAAAATCCATACAGACATAAAAGTACAAACAGTAAAACATTAGCATTAGCATGTCAATGCATTTAAGAAACAGATATAAAAGTTATGTTACAGTTATCTGCATATCTGCAACTACACAAGGTTTACTTAAAGTGTATAATTTACAGTATTACTTTCTTTTGTCTGTCCAGTCAGAAGCCTCATAACTTGCTCTCAAGTGTCACGTTGTCTTTTTCTTGAGCAATCCCATTGTTGCTTGGACTAGTGCCTCCATCTTCTGTCTCATCTGCTGAAATTAGGATTAAAAGTGTCAGTAAAAATATCTATCTATCTATCTATCTATCTGTCGTAAACCATCGTAGTGAGGACATTCTGCATTGTGAGGACATTTTGTCCAGTCCTCACTAAATCAAAAGAATGTTTGAGAGTAAACACCTGGTTTTAAGGCTAAAGTTAGGATTAGGTTTTTGATAAGGTCAAGATATAGCAGGGAAATGATTGGGATTAAGGACTAGGAAATGCATTGTGTCGATGAAGGCCCTAAGAACCAGAGCCAGACCGTCCTATACATTCATAACGCACATCTCATGTAAAAGGTTAAAGCGAGCATCAGTGTTTACAAGGTTGATGAGAGGATGAAGAGGAAACTATACTTCTGGGTTCAAGAAAAGAAAGGAACTCAATGAGGGTGACTTTTTTAGGAACAGCAAAACATGACTGTGTGAGCACTGACCTTTGACCTGCCGGGCCAGGAGGCGAGGTCCCGCTAGTCCAATACCCAGTGCTCCAATGGGGGCTGTGACCAGGATAGCTAACACCGCTAACGTTAGCACGTCCAAGCCAAATTTTATCAAGGTCTGGTCCCCCTCCTCCCTCGCCATGTCCAATGCCTTGGAGCCAATGGCAGCCTATCACACATGAATACACAAACATCGGACACTTTTAAAACACTTAAACACTTAATTCAAGTGAATGCACATAAGCATGAACATGACCCTTGAGTCTTTAGGAGATTCACAGGATATTCACATGCACACACAGACCTGTACTGTGGCTTTAGGCAGCCAGGCCACAGCGATGAAGAGCTTCTCCTTCAGGTTAAATCCTCCAAAATGAACCAGCAGGTAGGTGACGAGCAGGCGGATCACCAGACCAATACTGATACAGGCCAGACCCAGACCTGAACACACACATAGACAAACAGACCAACGCAGTGGAAAAAATATATTTAACGAAGCACACCAACATTAGGGAAATTATTGAAACATCAAAACGTGTTGGACTTTCAACAGAGTCTGGGGAAGCTCCTGCAGGTGCAGGTTAACAATATCAGAAATGATTTTGTTTGTTTTTTTAGCATTGTTCTTACCCACAGTGCTGGGGCTGAGGGTTGCTATGGTAATCTCTGCTCCAATCAGACCAAACAGGAGCGGCTGAAACACATCCCATGACCGACCCACCATGGCTGCCACCGGGACCTGGATGTAAAGACGAACACTGACTAAGCTCAGATAGGTTCAGTGGTAAAAGACATGCTGACATTGTGTAAACAGGGCTGAATCCAGGTGTTGAATCCAGATTAAAAGGATTCTGATGTGTGTTACCTTGTTGGTCTTCCAGCCCAGAGCAGCCAAAAAGGCCAGCACCAGCGTACAGAGACCACCGGCTCCAGCAAAACCGACAACATGACTGAAGAAGACCGAAAATATGGACAGACCCAACAGTAAGAGAGTCCTCCTCAAAACCAGGTCCTCCTGCAGAGAGGCCGACAGAGACAGACAGAGGGACGGGCAGGCAGACAGAGAGTACATTAAATGATTTAATTCAATTACATTTAAAGTTTAAATTTAAAATAGCATAACACAAAACCAAACCTCACTCTCACCTGGTCTTTGCTGGGGAAACAGGACAAGAACAGCCCCAGGATAAGCCCGGCTATGATCCCTCCCACCACCTCCAGCAGACCCTTTAGGATGTTCATCCACGTAGAACCTGCAGGACAAACAGCACATAGAACAGGATAGATAGGAATGAAAAGGAAGGAAATAGAACAGAATAAATTACAGTAGAGCGTTTTCTCCTCAGCTCTCACCTGTAGAGAAGGCGATTCCCAGACAGGTAGAAAATCCTGTTATGGCCAGAATATCATCAAAACTCCCTGCAGCCATCAGCAGGGTGGGGATTCCCTGGACAACAACACAGAACATTATTAGATGTCCCCTATTCATAGTTTTCAGTCACGTGACATGCCCGGTGACTTGGCGGGCAAAACAGCAGACCAACATAGCGGCTCACACCGCGACTCCCCCGTGGAGACGCCGCAAAAACAGTCAAATTTTATTTGTATCACCTTTCAACTTAAGAAAAAGAAAGATATGAACACAAGCTGCAAGTGTTGGGCATACCCGATCCATATAACTATATCATTACAGCATCCACTGCCACATTTCTACAGTTAAAAACTGCCAGGTCCCTGCCGCCACTCGACTGCGGTATGTTTACGTGGGGAATCCCTCACCTAACACAGCCCAGGCTTGTCTCCTCCTCGATTAGTGCATCCGAAATCACAACAACCATCCAGCATTTCCAGCAACTCAAAGTAACAGTGTATCACTTGCTTATTGGTTGGCAGGCAGCGTAAATAACGAGTGTTTTGCCCTCCATGGGAGTGTTTTGCATGTAAGCTGATCTGTGGTCTCTAATCGGTGGTCTATGGTCTGGTGAGAACTGTGTAAATGTAAATGCTATGTACTTGTATCGCCTTTCTAGTCTTTTCGACCACTCAAAGCGCTTTTACACTACATCTGCATTCACCAGTCACATTCATACACTGAGCCTAAGTGCTCAAACAGAAACTAACATTCACACACATTCATACACCGCCAGGGGCAATTTGGGGTTCAGTATCTTGCCCAAGGCCACTTTGACATACAGCCTGGGGGAGCCGGGATTGAACGGCCGACCTTCCGATTAACAGCCAACCCGCTCCACCTCCTCCTGTTCCTACCACTTCCTGTCACCTATGCCCCCAATATACAACCATGTGCATCTAATCACTGCCACCCAGTGTCTAAAATACTATATAAATATATAATACTATCATGTCAACAATAAATATAAATGGCTCCTACAGCTCCTTTAGCATGATTTTGTAATCACAGAGGAGGGTTGGGTGGTCTTCTAGGAGGTCCTAGTTCCAGTGGTCATTAAGAAGGTTTTAGGGGTCTTTCGGGGGGTCTAGGAGTGAATTAGGAGGGTCCAGTTGTCACCAAGGAGGTTTTAGAAGTCTACTTGTCATTTAAAGGGTTGTAGGTATTCTTTATAAGGTTCCACTAAAGAGGTTCTAGATGTTCATTGTTAGATTGTTGTCATCAAATATGTTCTCGGGGTCTTATACGGAGTTCTAGTGGTGATGTATAGTTAGATGTTCAATCAGAAGTATATGAGGTTTTAGAGGTCATATAGGTGGTTCTTGTGGTCAGTGAGATGGTTCTGTGAGTTTTGTAGGTGGTTCTAGCGTTTTCTAGGATAGGCCCACAGAGATAATGTGTAACATTTACACAGACTGGTTCATGTCTTTGGCTGCCCACCTGCTCCCCCTGGTGGCAAACTACAGAATCACCTGTGCTCAGACTGTTGTTAGAGCAGCAGGTGAGGGTTTGTTTACCTTCTCTACGCCGTATCCTTCTCTCTGCAGGAGCAACATCGAAGGAACCACAACTGCAGGAGACACTGCGGCCAGGACAAAACTACACACACACACACACACACACACACACACACACACACACACACACACACACACAGTGGCATTTTAGTCTTACAGATACAGACAGCTGTAGTTTCCTTATATTTATAATGATATAATGATTTGTGTGTGTGTGTGTGTGTGTGTGTGTGTGTGTGTGTGTGTTACCCCAGTATGAAGCCCCAGACCCATGGCAGACCCAACAGGAAGTGAGAAACCACAGCAACGACGGAGGCCTCCACCATGCAGGGACCGACCGCAACACGCACGCACACCGCCTTAAGGCGACTCAGCGCCTGCGTGTGCACACACAAACAAATATTTAAACAACTGTACCTGAAAGAGTCAGTAAGTATGTACAGTGTGTGCGCTCACCGAGGGGTCGAGGCCCAGTCCGGCTCTGGTAAGGATGATGGACAGGGCGACGTTCCTCAGAGCTGCAGACCAGTGAGTGTCGATGAAGACAGCGTCCGCTATGTAGGGAACGTTACGCAGCACCAGCCCTGCCAGCAGCATACCTGCAGACACACACGGGAACTGATCAGTCAAACAGTACAGGGCCTTTACAATGAGTGCGTTTAAATGCACATTAGTATCCTGGCTTTGATCATATTACGCATACAGGGAACATGAGAAACCTGGTTATTCATCTCCCTGTTTACATGATTCAGAAGGTATCCAGGTTTCTGATCATCTGCCTGCAGGTGTGTCTGAACTCCACTTCTTTTTTGCACAGCTGATTGAGAGTGAACATGTTTTGGTCTGTGGTGTCAAGAGTCACAAAATACAACCCTGCAGCACTGAAGTCAGACCCTCCCTCTAGTTATATCTTCATCATCATCATTATATCTTTTACATTATTTATTTATTTTGATGACCAACTACTACATAACTTGACTTGATGACACACCAGTGAACTCGACTCAGAATCATCAGAAACCTGGATCAGGATTTTTCATGCCACAGAATCCCCCAATAAGAGAAAGAAAAATTTCTAGACAGACTTCATGGTAGATTACATTAGATTAGATGAGATTAGATTGTTTTTAGATGTTGGGTCGTACCAAGTAGTGGGGGGAAGGGGGGCAGTGTGGGCAGCTGAATCATTCCCACCAGCTTCCCTCCCAGCACGGAGCAGATGAAGAGGATGACGATGCCAAACAGGTTTCCTCCAGGTAAACACTCACTTCCTGTGATGGCCCAGACAACTCCAAACAGCAGAGCAAACAGACACACTGCACGCACAAACACACACACAAATTAATAGCAGCTGAATCCATTTCCATACACCGTCTATATAGCTTCAGTGTTCCAGTGTTTTTTGTTTTTGTTGTTTTTGGGAGGGGTGCATTTGTTACTCATTAACAATATCATCAACAATGGGAAATAATAATCCTAGTATTAGAAAATAGTAATCCAAATGCTGTCATATTCATAATTCAGGGATAGATTTAGATTGATTTCAGAGGCGGCTGTATTACTACCCTTATGAAAGATCCACAGCTTGTTTTCATTGTGATTTTACTGATTTATGCATGAAATTTGTAACTTATAATAGCAAGTACCACAGTATTACGCTTTTTGATTTGTGCAAAATACTTTCACATTTCTCTCAGCATACTGACAGGAACATATGACATTAGCAAAACAATAAGAGTAAATAAAACAGAGAGACAGACATATCTTCAGATTGGTTTAAAGGTTGTGATTTCCAAAAGAGGAGCACTTTAGATTTTAACACCATGAACTCTGCTATAGCGCACTTTCTCTCATGATGGAGACGTTTTTCACTGGAGCCCACGGATACCATTAAAGAGAAAACACATGTGAGGACTCTTTTAAATACAAACACACCAAAAAACACACTGTTTGTTACCTTTAGTGATAAGCAGGTTGATGAGTCCCTGTGGTCGAGGACATCGGTCCTTCAGACTGATACAAGACGAACAACAAGAGGTCGAGCCCGATGCTGTCATCTTCGTCTAAACAAACACATTACACAGGTACTGTATGTATATACAGAGAGAGGCACACACATGACATGTACACACACATATACACACAGAGACATGGACACACACATATACACACAGACATGTACACACACATATACACACAGAGACATGTACACACACATATACACACAGAGACATGTACACACACATATACACACAGAGACATGTACACACACATATACACACAGAGACATGTACACACACATATACACACAGAGACATGTACACACACATATACACACAGAGACATGTACACACACATATACACACAGAGACATGTACACACAGACATGTACACACACATATACACACAGAGACATGTACACACATATATACACACAGAGACATGGACACACACATATACACACAGAGACATGTACACACATATACACACAGACATGTACACACACATATACACACAGAGACATGTACACACACATATACACACAGAGACATGTACACACACATATACACACAGAGACATGTACACACGAGACATGTACACACACATATAAACACAGAGACATGTACACACAGAGACATGTACACACACATATAAACACAGAGACATGTACACACAGAGACATGTACACACACATATACACACAGAGACATGTACACACACATATACACACAGAGACATGTACACACAGAGACATGTACACACACATATACACACAGAGACATATACACACAAAGACATGTACACACACATATACACACAGAGACATGTACACACACATATACAAACAGAGACATGTACACACACATATACACACAGAGATATGTACACACACATATACACACAGAGACATGTACACACACATGTACACACACATATATACACAAAGACATGTACACACAGAGACATGTACACACACATATACACACAGAGACATGTACACACAGAGATATGTACACACACATATACACACAGAGACATGTACACACAGAGACATATACACACACATATACACACAGAGACATATACACACAGAGACATGTACACACACATATACACACAGAGACATGTACACACAGAGATATGTACACACACATATACACACAGAGACATGTACACACAGAGACATATACACACACATATACACACAGAGACATGTACACACAGAGACATGTACACACACATATATACACAAAGACATGTACACACACATATACACACAGGACATTTTTCTCAACTGTCCTAAAGCAACTTTAGGAACAGCAACACTAAGGACAACTTCAGGAACAGAAACACTGAGGACAACTTTAGGAACAGCGACACTAAGGACAACTTTAGGAACAGCCACTACAAGAAGAACTTTAGTAACAGAAACACTGAGGACAACTTTAGGAACAGCAACACTAAGGACAACTTTAGGAACAGCCACTACAAGAAGAACTTTAGTAACAGAAACACTGAGGACAACTTTAGGAACAGCCACTACAAGAAGAACTTTAGTAACAGAAACACTGAGGACAACTTTAGGAACAGCAACACTAAGGACAACTTTAGGAACAGCCACTACAAGAAGAACTTTAGTAACAGAAACACTGAGGACAACTTCAGGAACAGCCACTACAAGAAGAACTTTAGTAACAGAAACACTGAGGACAACTTTAGGAACAGCAACACTAAGGACAACTTTAGGAACAGCCACTACAAGAAGAACTTTAGTAACAGAAACACTGAGGACAACTTTAGGAACAGCGACACTAAGGACAACTTTAGGAACAGCCACTACAAGAAGAACTTTAGTAACAGAAACACTGAGGACAACTTTAGTAACAGAAACACTGAGGACAACTTTAGGAACAGCGACACTAAGGACAACTTTAGGAACAGCCACTACAAGAAGAACTTTAGTAACAGAAACACTGAGGACAACTTTAGGAACAGAAACACTGAGGACAATTTCAGGAACAGCGACACTAAGGACAACTTTAGGAACAGCCACTACAAGAAGAACTTTAGTAACAGAAACACAGAGGACAACTTTAGGAACAGCGACACTAAGGACAACTTTAGGAACAGCCACTACAAGAAGAACTTTAGTAACAGAAACACTGAGGACAACTTTAGTAACAGAAACACTGAGGACAACTTTAGGAACAGCGACACTAAGGACAACTTTAGGAACAGCGACACTGAGGACAACTTTAGGAACAGCCACTACAAGAAGAACTTTAGTAACAGAAACACTGAGGACAACTTTAGGAACAGAAACACAGAGGACAACTTTAGGAACAGCGACACAGAGGACAACTTTAGGAACAGAGACACTAAGGACAACTTTAGGAACAGCCACTACAAGAAGAACTTTAGTAACAGAAACACTGAGGACAACTTTAGGAACAGCGACACTAAGGACAACTTTAGGAACAGCCACTACAAGAAGAACTTTAGTAACAGAAACACTGAGGACAACTTTAGTAACAGAAACACTGAGGACAACTTTAGGAACAGCGACACTAAGGACAACTTTAGGAACAGCGACACTGAGGACAACTTTAGGAACAGCCACTACAAGAAGAACTTTAGTAACAGAAACACTGAGGACAACTTCAGGAACAGAAACACAGAGGACAACTTTAGGAACAGCGACACAGAGGACAACTTTAGGAACAGAGACACTAAGGACAACTTTAGGAACAGCCACTACAAGAAGAACTTTAGTAACAGAAACACTGAGGACAACTTTAGGAACAGCCACTACAAGAAGAACTTTAGTAACAGAAACACAGAGGACAACTTTAGGAACAGCGACACTAAGGACAACTTTAGGAACAGCGACACTAAGGACAACTTTAGGAACAGCGACACTAAGGACAACTTTAGGAACAGCGACACTAAGGACAACTTTAGGAACAGCCACTACAAGAAGAACATTAGTAACAGAAACACTGAGGACAACTTTAGTAACAGAAACACTGAGGACAACTTTAGGAACAGCGACACTAAGGACAACTTTAGGAACAGCGACACTGAGGACAACTTTAGGAACAGCCACTACAAGAAGAACTTTAGTAACAGAAACACTGAGGACAACTTTAGGAACAGCAGCACTGAGGACAACTTTAGGAACAGCCACTACAAGAAGAACTTTAGTAACAGAAACACTGAGGACAACTTCAGGAACAGCCACTACGAGAACAAATGTAGGAACAGCAAGACAGAGATCAGATTTAGGAACATGAACACTGACAAATTTAGGAACAGAAACACTAGAACAATTTTTTTAACAACAAGACGGAGAACAATTTTAGGATCAACACTGAGAACAAATGTAGGAACAGCAAGACTGAGAACAATTTTTTGGAACAGTTGTGTTTGTGTGTGTTGTTGACCACTCACATTGTCGTCCAGTTCATCTGTCTTCCTCCGCGGCAGGACGGTGATCTCTCTCTCGTCCTGACCTTTCCCTCGCTTCACCACAGGTGTGTGTGTGGAGAGAGAGAGAGAGAGAGAGACATAGACAGTGAATAAGGTGCCGTACAACTTGTCTGAAGTGAAAATTAAACATGCATGTCAACTTTAACCTATGCTTCACACACACACCTTTGTTTGCACATTCTCCCCCTGCTTGTATCACACTTCTCCATATGTTCTTCCTCTGTTTCCATCCATTCATTTTTCATTCTTTTATAGTTTTTGTTTCATCACATTAATCATTAAACCAGACAATCACGCTTACACACACATGTAATGGAAAATCTTCTCAGCAGTCCAGCAGTATACTACTTGATTTTAATAACCCTGTGACCTTGCCTCTATCACCACCCTCAGGACAAACTTTCCATCTTTTACTCCACTCCTGTAGGAACAAAAAAATCAGCAGTTTGTCGATTTTTCTGTCAGCTGATAGTTTGGTTGTTTTAATCCAGCAGCTCTTTTACATGTCTTTGTTCAGATCAAACTGTAAAGATTCAGTCAGTGTTTTAACATTCGTCTAACTATTACTAGTATCTGCTTTCACCAAGGTCAAGGTGTGTGTGTGTGAGATTAGGTACTGGTATTCAATCTAATGCAACTGCTCTGCCATAAAGGCGACTTTTATGACAGCATGACTGTCATGTTCAGTTTTTTTAAATGGCAGGTTTTAGCACTGAGGCCTTGGTTAGAGGGGGACTGCATTTATTATATAGTGTAGTTGATGCCACATACACAAAAAAAAAACATAAAAACATAACGAAAAGATTAACAAATTCTGTAATCTTACTGGTCCTACTCTCTGCACTAAACCATGTGTCACTATGCTACACTTTACAGTCCAGTGGTTGGAGTTCAAATGGTGGGCAGGTTTATATTTTGGTTTACATCTAGATCGCAGGATGTTTTATTTAGAGTTTTATCAAAAAAGGCTGTTTTTTTTTTATGGGACACGAACAAGTGATATGAAGAGCTGGTACCTCAGCTTGATCCTGCTTCTGTCCATCATCACTCATCCGACAGTACCGCTTCGTGGCTTCTTCGTCCATCATCTGAAACAGACAAATTACTGGGATTAGTGACTGTAGCGTAATTAATCAAGAAATGAAAATTGGTGTGAAAAATGTAGCACTAAGAAACTCATAGTCATAGTTTTATGTCATTTTGTATATACCATAATTTACAAGGTTATGCTTTATTTTATGGGTCAGTAATATAATAATTTCCATTAATTAATTTAAGATCATTACGCTAAAAATAAATAGTTGTATACTTTGACCTCCCTCTTTTTCCTCTTGCCTTCCTTCTCTCTCTCTCTCTCTCTTTCCTACAGTGTCCTGGGGCTTGACTGATCTCTGGGTTGGGCACCAATCTCCACCCGCTCCCATTATACACCTGTTGCTGATCATTGTTCAAGCCTACTACATTAGGAGAGGCCTGAGATCCAGTCCTCTGGATCATTAAGTCATATCTGACTACTCCTCCAGACCTGAACTGCTACCAGCCTGCCTCTCTAACCTGGGATCCCAGCCTGTCTCAGCCAGTAACCCCCGCCAGCCAGCTCAAGACCCGGACTTCGACCCATAGCCCCCTCCCCCATTTACTCTTTCTGTCTGTTAAACATAAAGCAGTTGAAACTTACCTGCTGAATCTGCCTGATTGTGTGTTCTTTACTATAAAGCCAGACATGGTGTCCACAACATCTTAGAAATTATGAGAAAATCACCCACAAAATAAAGCTTTTCTCAAATTTTAGATTTACATGTTTAGCTGAGCTGCTATGCATTGATTAAAAGACTATTACACTTGCAATTCACTGGAGTTACTTGATCAGACATGGACCAACTGAACACTACATCCATTTTCCCTGGAAACTAATCAAGTTTTTTTGCAGAAAAGTCCCTAGTAATTATTATTCCAGACCCGTAATAAAACATTGGGTGAAATCTGTGCGAAAAAAAGCAACCAATATTGAGAATAAAGTTTCCAATAATACATAAAAATTAAAGGAATATATTTTTGGATTTTAATAGAGCTGGTCTTTTGAGGGTATTTGTATTTTTCCTATAAGTAGTGGAAAATTGCACGTCTTTCCAGGAAACTTCACAGGAAATGATTAACAAATTACTGAGCGGTAAAATAAAGTGGTACATTAATTACAAATCAAACACTGATCACTTCTTCTGTTTGTGTACATGGTATTACTTCACACTTGCCAATGTAAAAATGTTTCCCATGACACTAAAGCCCGACTGAATTGATTATTAATCTGTTATACACACAAAAAAAAGCAAAAGCATAACCTTTCTTACAATCAGCTGAATGCTTCACATACTTACAATGTCACAAAATCAGATAGACACCAGTTTTTAAAGATTAATAAAGTATTTGTGGACACACTCTTACCTTTGGTTGATAAAGAGCGGTGTGACTGGAACAAAGAGGAAAAGACGACTGACAACTTAGTCATCAACCAGCAACAAGAGACACAAAGAGAGAGAGAGTCTGCTGTGTGTTAATAACAGCTGGTTTTGACTCTGTTGTGTTTGTCACTCTGCAAAATGACAGCCGTCTCAGGCGACATCACACACACACACACACACACACACACAGTAAAGCCTGGCATTACACAGGCCACTATCACGCTGTCGGCTGCATTAATACCAGGCTGTAACACACACGCACAGAGTGCAGAGTGCAGAGTTGCGTTCACGGTCGCTTGCAGACACTAACACATCTTATTATCATTTAGATAATAGCAGGTGTGTGTCAGTGTGTGCGTACATGTGTAGCACTCGCCGCACTGTTCCACGCACACTGGAACAGCTGGTTAACACACCTCATAGAGCTGCTGAGATAATTGACAGCTTAAAATTAAAGGAGCCTTTTTGTAGAACCTTGAAATTAAGTCTGGTGACATCAAATCTCATGTTCAAAGCCAAACCAACAGTGAATGCATCTACTAACAGGTACTGTGTGTGTGTATCACAGCCCAATGTCTCTTCTTCCTCTCAGTGACAGAACTCAGTGACACTACTCATGTAGTCACTGTCACCCTGAACACTTTTTTACTCTGTCCCACATACTCAGTTCTGGAGCGCCCTACATGAGAGCCCTACATGTCAATAAACAACGCAAAAGAGGTGCTCTAGACCAAGTGTCCATGTGTGATGAGTTAAGAGCGAGAAAGTGAAGTAAAGTCAGCTTTTCAGGTGTAACCTCTGTTGTTCTGTCCATTCATACCTCGTATTTGCTCGACAGACTGTGGGTTTATGGGAGTTGAGGCCATTAAAACTTGTAATAAATAAACGATACAACTTTTTTTAACTTGACTTGAACCGCTTGATATGGCCTGCTGTTGAGCAAACTGTGTTGTGAGGCTGGATTCTTTGTTATTCTGTGTTATTACGAACGTTAATGAGATTTTTCTTACTTCTCAAAGCTACTTTTGTTTTATTAGTGTATCTTTAAACATCTTCTTTCTCTCTTTTACATGTTCCAACAATCTTTGGATTGGAAGCAGGCAGTCAGTAATATAACAGATGACATTATGACCGTATGATTCCCCAGTCTGAAACCAGTCTAATAAAAACATTAGGTACACTGTTTAAAAATGGGCTGAATATCTCCATCATTCATCATTATTTCAAGACTAGAGGAAGTGGAAACAGACTGAATGCACAGTGACAGGTCCGCATACAGGCTGTGAGTCACACACAAACACACGTGATAGAGTGTGTGTGTATAGTTTTATTGGTGGGATACAAGGTGATACAAACCAAATAGTCAATACGGCTTATACACAAATCATTAGAGGCAACAGTCTGTTCATAAAGCATTTAAATCCACATAATTAAACACTCACCATCATCATCATCATCATCATGATAACAAAGTTGTAACAGCTAAATCAGGAAGTGACATCAGAAACACGCACACAAGCCAAATCACATACTAACATATGTGTGTATATACACATGTGTACCATGACTGTATGTTCTCCCACAACACACACACACAGCCCTGTGTAATAAGCATGACATACAAAAAGCTGTAGAAAAATACTCTTAAAAAACCAAACACACTAAACAACAACAACAACAACCACCACTTGGAATGTTCTGGACATCAGACGTTAACATGGAGGGGACACCGGGCAATTTGTTTGTCAACTCTTTTGTTGTCATTTTAATCGTGACATAAGTATTTAATATCCCAAATAAGAGATTCTGGCTCCCCCCACTTGAATTAAATTACATATTAAAATGTACAGATTTTTCCAATTCAAACTAAAGTCAAGAGCTCCTTTGGCAGGTGTCATGAAAAAGTATTACTAAGTTATTTAAAAAGAAAGTAATTTGTGTGCAAAGACGATTATAACTGTTGATTATATAAAGGTGCGTCTCCAAAAATTTGAATATTCTGAAAAAGTTTATTGTGAGCACCAGAACCAGACTGAAGGATTAAAGGCTCAGGAACCTTTTGCAAGTTTTTTGAGTTAATTAGCTCATTTATGTTCTTTTCAAGTCGCCATTTCTGTATTATGAATTCTTTATTATAAAATACAATTCATACATACAATACATTTTGAGAAAATGGAGTTTTGATTTCCACAAACTATAAGCTGTAATCATCAAGGTTGGACGATATTCAAATTTTTGGAGATGCACCTGTATATCAGTAATTTACAAAGAAGAAGAACAGAAAAGAATCTGCGCTCTTCGTGTTTACAAATGAAGTTGAGAGAAGCCAAAAGTGATTATAACACTTTTCAGTCTGCAGAGTTTGAGTCGCAACTGACTCTTTCTCAACTTTAGCCAACTCTAGCTGTTAGCTGATGCACTTTATTTATGCCTCACTACACTGATTTGAAAGGTTAGCTGAGCCCGCTAGTTTACTTCAGTGATTAGCTAGTTAAAACTGTTACTGTTAAAACTACACAATTGGATATGGTTCATAAATACACAGCGGATGCTAATGTAGCTTACTGCTAACATTTGCTAATGTTATTAAAACACGTTAATGAATTATCTATAAAGGCAATATACTACATTTGTGCTTCTATAGCATGGGGCTGATCTGGCAGAAAATAGTTTTTGTTAACAAGTCTGCTAGCTAACTTAAGTACTAGCTAGGAAGCTAAAACCATTTATTTAAAAAATACAATCAGACACAATTGGTTTGTAAATTAAAAACTAAATCTAACATATCTCACGGTTAATGACGATGCTAACATCATGAATAAACACTAATCAGATCTACATTATATGCTACAGTTATGCTTGAAACAAGTTTTAATATTTTAGCTTTCTGTCTTTTGTGTTGTTTCACATTACAAATGAAATGAAAATCAAACCGCTGTGTGAATAAAGTTCACTGAAAATTGTTGCTCAAATAAGTTGCCAGTATGTTAGAAGCAAAAAAAATATCATCTCTCTCTGTTTTACACACACACACACACACACACACACACACACGTACAGTACAACATTTTACAGGTAACAAGGTTGTTGTTTTTTAATGCTAAGTTTAAGTACAGGCACTATAGAGTGAAGCATTATGGGAAGTTGAGTGCTCAACTTTTGTTTTAGCTAGCAGCTTTTAGAAATTCAGTGCTCAACGCCTGAACATTGTGTGTTACATTGTGTTTATGATCATTGAAGTTTTAATACTCAGACAAACGGATGATGTTTTAGAAATGTTTGTTGTGTGTGTTATTAATTAATTAGTTATCCAAAGCGATAACTAAAAGCAACTTATCCAAAGCGACTTACAATTGATATATGTATCAGAGATCGCACACTTCTGGAGCTACTAGGGGTTAAGTGTCTTGAGCACATTGGTGGGTGCAACAGTGGGAAGCGAACCCAGGTCTCCTTCACCAAAGGCATTTGTCTTATCCACTGTGCCATCACCAGTGTTTCAAACACACTCACACAAAAACCCAGCGATGGGCTATGTTGACTTTGCATTAATGCAACAATAAACTGAAGCCCTGAATATAATAATGAAATCTTACGGTTATGGTGAAGAACATTAGAGACTTTAATTCTCTGGCTGGATAGTTCTTCCTCTGAGTTACTATAAGCAAAGTAACAAGTCAAATCAGAAGCAAAGAAAGTCCATAATAATTAGAATTTACTACAAGACTGACACTACTGAATCTGTAATATATACGGTTTACATAAAATTAAGTCGGTGGCCTTGAATCATTTTACTTTGTAAACTTTTGTGAATTAATTTTTTCTCTTAACATTTTCAGAAAGTAATTTTTAAGTTTTGCCTTTTAAATGTTTTCTTTGAAATTCAGAAATCTGTGGGAATAAAATTTCAGCAACTTAATTTTCAACATAATTTTCTGATAAAGAAATGACTAATTGATTTTGAATACAGAATCATAAAGAGCTTTTAGATGCTACAAACACATTGGTATTTAAATTTGAATATTCAGTAGTGATTGAACTTTGAAAACAAAGTTTTTTAGATTCATATTCTTATTCATATTCTATGTAGAGCAATAAAAAAATAAGAGTGTTAAGTGAATGTTAATTGATTATGAATGCAAAGTCTAGTAGTTGACAACAACAGCTCTACTAGCTACCTAGTTAGCATCTGCAATATGAGTTTATACCACTGCTAAAACAGCAGTTAGCATCTGAAGGCTATCAGTATTGATATAGGCACAGGTAGAGGAACTGAAGGTGTGTGTGTGTGTGTGTGTGTGTGTGTGTGTGTGTGTGTGTGTGTGTGTGTGTGTGATTGACAATGACATTACTTCCTCCTGGAATGCTGAAGACAGGAAGTGTTGAGTGTGTGTGTCAGTCGCTCAGGTATGTGTGGATGTAGATCTGCTGTTGGATCCAGGGGGTGAAATGCGTCACGTTGCTGTACACTCCGGGTCCGAGCACTTTACTGAAGCACACGCTGCCCCAAGATGTCAGGCCAAACAAGGTCCAGTGACCTCCGTCCTCCTCACACACCAACGGACCGCCGCTGTCACCCTGTATACACACACACACACACACACACACACACACACACACACACAGACTGTGATTACAGAACAACTGGTCCAATATGTTGATTCAGAAATCAGAAATAATCGAGATTAAAGTTGTTTTTGTGTCTCAAAACTCCATGAAGATCAAGCTAAAAACTTTCTGTGACTTCATTTTTAAAAAAAGCTTGAAATGTCTAACAATTATTATTATTATTGATTTTTCATATTCAAATAATCTGCGTATCTATCTGGATAAATAATTTTTTCATAGAGTGCGCAAGATTATTCGACATGGATTATGTAGTACAAGCTGCTCTCACTGCTGATGACTTTAGGCTGGAGAAGGACTGGTGGTCTATGATGAAACCAGTGATATACAGGATTGTTTCATCAGCGTAAAAACTGATATTCTAGCGCTGAGTTGGAAAATAAATGTCTCTGTACTGAGGAAATGGCAGGGGACCCACATGTGTTCCTTGTGGGACCCCTCTATCAGCATTTTGACTTGATTTAATTAGAATCCCCCCCAGGCTGCAGTGTCCAATAATAGTTATAAAAGTTAAGTGTTGGACAGAGCAAACAACATACTGATGATTTTGATTTTTATATCCTTACCAGTAGTGGAGGTACAAATGTAAAGAGATGTACTAGATCAAAAGTGTGGGTGAGACAATAATTCGCAAATGTCAGTATTTTGCAGTTCAACTGATACTCTGGTATCCCTGGCTTCAACATTTTTGACTTTATCAGACCACTGTAGGCAAATCAGTGAACAAAACTTATTTTAGATTATTGTATTTTTTATAGTTATTGCATCATTGTATCAAGAGTATGGATTTATCAGGTATTACATTAACTGGATAAACCTAAAAAAGACGTTTCTCCCTGGTGATTTAGGGGTGGTGATGGCGCAATGGATAAGACACATGCCTTTGGTGTGAGAGACCCGGGTTCAATTCCCCACTGTGTCCCATCCACCATTGTTGACACTTGCTCCAGAGGTGTGCAACCTCTGACATGTATAGCATTTGTAAGTCGCTTTGGATAAAAGCGTTCAGCTAAATGAATAAATGTAATTTAACTGAGGACTCAACTTCCCACAATGTTTCACTTGTTGACATTAGTCGATATTCCCATCATTCATTTTAGTCACGCTTTATCAAGGAGAAATACCAAATATTTTCTTGTTAAAGTTTCTCCAATGTCAAATATTCAGTTTTCTCTATTTCATAGTGGAAATCTTTGGGCTCTACTCTGTGAAAACTGGAAACTTTATTAACTTAATAATGAATCAGTTATTTGACTAAATATCCTCTGAGGAGCAGGAATATGCAGCACATTTCATGGATATCCAGCCAGTAGATGTCAACATATCTATTCATTGACCAAGAGTTGGAGGACTGATGGACATGGGACAAAAAAATTTTGTTCCTTAAATTAAAACAACTTATTGTCACAAAAATAATCACAAAATATAACTGCTACTTTATTTTCTTGACATTTAACTTGTCTGAGAACAATTATTTTAGTTTTCTCTGTTCGGTATACATTACACATTCATGTTAACCCGACCAGCTGTCAGTGCAGATGTTACCATGCAGGAGTCGACGGTCCCAGCATCGTAACCAGCGCAAAGCATCCTGGGAGTGATGGTCTTAATGTCAAAGTAAGACTGACACTGAGACAGCGAGATGATTCGAACCTCCCCTTCCTGCAGCTTAAAGGGAACTGGACACACAAACAGAGTTTAGAAGCATTTCTTTTTACACTTCCTGCAGTGCTTTCGTATAGACTCCCTACTACAGCTACTCACTCCTGTTGCCCATGTGACCCCAGCCTGTGATGTAACAGTAGGAATCAGGCGAAGGGAGCTGGCCAAGCTCAGGTAGACACACCGGCCTGACGAAATTTGTCTCCTCGATCTGAAAACACAACATATCTTATCAATACTCTCCTATTAATATTTATATTCAATGCTCTGCATGTCCGTCTCTGACCTCAGATTCCAGCTGCACCACACTGATGTCGTAGTCGACCACCGCCCGGTTGTAGCGCGGGTGAACGATGATGGAGCGCACTTTGCGACTCTGACTGTGCACACCTGGATGGTCCAGGTTGTTCAGCCCTAACACCACCTTCCACAGCTCTGAACTCTCTCTCCTGAAACACACACACACACACACACACACATGAATCCTCAGTGTTTGATAATACAATCAGAGTTTAGTTCATTAACTGCCTCCCTTTTTATCTCCATGCTCACCCTTCGAAGCAGTGTGCGACAGTCAAAGCCCATCTCCGGGCGATGAGGACGCAGCCGCAGACATGACCGCCCTGACCGCTCTGCAGCGAGCACTGCCACGGCCACGCACCTCGCCGGGACACCCGTCCTCCCAGAATTCTCTTCTTCCTATGGGGGTAGATGCCCACTGCAGGGCGCAGACCACACTCTGGCAGACAGACAGAGCGAGAGGAGTCTTTGTCTGCTTCTACCACTACTGTTGTAGGTAGAAGCTTTATTTACCAGGCATGTGTGCACATACGAGGAATTTGACTGTGGATTGTACAATGCTGACAATGTGCTTACTCATACAATAATACAGTAATAAAATCAAACACAGGCTACAGTATAGAGAACACATATATACACACTATACACAAAACAAACAGATTCAGAAAATAGTGCCATGAGCAGAGTAAATTATTATTACCATTATTGTTATTATTATGTACATGTCAGGCTTGGATGTGATATACAGGTGCACATACAAACATACATGTACACAGTGTGATGAGTGCAAAGAATGGTGGAATAAATAAGTATTATATGCAGGTGTTATGTACATGAGGTAGGTGAATTTGATATACAGTTTATACAATATGAACAGCTTTGAAATGGAGAATGATGAATAAATAAATGGTAAGTGGTAGCCAGTAATGGGAACAGGAATTATTGCACAGGAATTTTTCCTGACACTGAGTCAGAAATCAGCTGTTCATCAGAGTGATGGCTTGTGGGAAGAAACTGACATACAATGGAAATGTTATTTAACTTTGGCCAAACTGTATCAACTATCAAGCATTTACTTGTTTCTCCGAGTATCAATGATGAGTCTATTAACTGATAATTGGATCAATAGGAAATTAAAAGGTAACAGTTTTGATAATCAGTGAATCTTTGAAGTAATTATTTCAGTAAAAAATCTAAAACTTTTCTTGTTTTGTGCTCTGTTTTGATCTGATTTTCTAAAGACCAAATGATTAATCGATAAACGATTTTAAGCGCAATTAAAAGGTAAAAGTTTTGTAATGCAAAGGAGAAGAAAGGTTTACCTTCCCTCGTACACAGCACTGATACTCTCCTCCTGGAATGACACGCATGACTGCAGACAGACAGAAAAACTTTATTAAAACACTCGTGATTTGTTGCCTGCAGGAGTCTCATACTGGCTAAAAAGGTTATGACAACCTCTCTCTATATATATATATAAATATATATCTACCCCAAGAATGATTAATAGTCCAGGCTTTTATTTGCTAAAATCCCTGAATTGACCCAGCCTTTATTTGAGACAGGCGTCCATGTGTGACAGGCCTTTAATTCCTCTTGCACAAAACTGAAATAGGCTACTATGAAACAGTTTATTTATTTCAAAACACAATATTACTTGTATGAAAATTATCCAATAATATCGAATACACGTTTTGACATTTTGAAGGCAGAAGTGTGGCAGAAGTTAGCATACAGAGAGCAATGGACTTCACATGAAAGGATTCACAACTTGGATACATTTTTATGAAAACCTGTTTTGATTCTTTTGATCGGTGGACCCTTACAGACTAAAGGAATATAAATAATTAAGGAACGGACACATTCAGCCTTAATGAGCACTTCAAAGGTAACATGAGTCTGCACAGGCAAGAATTAGACTTTGAGGATAGTTGTCTTCTAAGGATTTTCAGTCGTTTTAGTATGAATGGAGATCAATTCTGATTCGCAGGTAAAACGCTGGTGTGGACAGAGATTGTTTCCACATTTCTACGTTTTGTAGCTTGAAGTAGGACCAAGATGCTCCTCATGAGGTGGTCTCAGCCTGGTTGTTTGGTCCACTACCAGAGATTGATTGACATCTTTCAGACCGAAAAGAACCAAACTAAAGAGGCTGATGGTTCTCACGTTGTCTAACTGGGTTCCGTTACCTTCTCTTCTCCAGTCGGGCCTGCAGAGCAGATCCATTCCTCAGGTTCCACTCAGGATGGACATGTAACCAACGGCGGCGGCCCGGGACTCCAGGCTGGTCAGGTACCATGGAAACAGAGGAGGGAACTCTGCAGAGAAACATGCAAATTGTGGTTAATCTGTCATGTATTTAGATAGTTGTGTGTGTGTTTGTGTGTGCGTGTTACTAACCTTACCCTAGTCCCAGCTGGCTGCAGGTCAGTTTGCTCAGATCGTGGTTCCACTCGTCTGCACAGATCTGATACTCTGCTGCCGTCCTGAGCACCGTCAGTACAGAACCCGATTGATCGGATAGAGACACTGCAGAGAGAATAGATCAATACACACGTATAAATATTAAAGACATTTACATCTACTCATTTAGCAGACGCTTTTATCCAAAGCGATATACAAGAATTAATAAAGCATGAATAGAGTATCTGTGCATGCAGAGCAAACGCTAAGCAAGTGTTGGTGAAGGCGCGATTACAAATGAAGTTATTGCAAAGACACGATTTCCAGTTTGGTGGTGCTGAGCACGCCCTGCCGATGCCAGCTCGAGTTGAAAATTTTACACTCGAGCGAGAAAGTTCCATGATGTGTTGTCGTTTCATACAGCTTTAGTAATCTGGGGTTGTGTTTATTCGTGTTGTGTGTGAACATTTACAAAACTCTCGTGAGGAAAGCAAGGAGAGGATTAATTTTGCGTTTGGTCTGAACACACAGTAACAGATAAGTCGTTTTTAGAGCCAAGTTCTTATGACCCACATTGACTATTGTTGGCCTTACAACGGCAGTAAAGGAGGACATCAGGTGAAGTATTATAAAGGAAGTACGAAGGGGTGGTGGATGGGTTAAACCCAGGGCTTATACTCAGGAGGACAGTGTTCAAGTTATTTTCAGTTATGACTTAAACAACATTACTGATGTGGTGTATAACATATGTCCATTTGATCATTACAGTTTAACATAACACTCTAGTAGCTGGACAGAGGCTCAGTGAACTCTTAAGGGGGAGTAATGATTGATGGGTATGTGAAGAGTGAACCCTCCTATGGAATTTGACCTCTGACCCAGTGTTAGGGGGAGTAGAGATTAGTGTTTATGAAGGGACTGGACCCTTATATGGTATTTAGCAGATACCTAAACATGTCCTATGTAAGCTGTGTTTGATGTACAGAGAGACAGAGTGGCCATCGGGCTGGGTCACTCTCCAAGCTGCTGCAGAGCTTGTAATTGATGCTGAACTCCTTGATGTAATAAACTTTTATGATCAAGAACATTGTCAAGCGGATTTCTTCTCAACACATCATCGCAGCATTATTGTTCGACACCACACTGACTTTTTTGTTATTATGTTTTGTGTGTGTGTGTCGTACCACAGTTCCATTCATCAGAGCTGTCCGAACAGTGTTTCTTTCCATCACACCACAGAGTCCGATGAACACACTCATGGTTGTTACAGGACAGCTCGTTGTCCCTGCACACCGCTGAGGAAAGGTTCAAGAGTATAACTACTGATACAACCAGCAATATAATTATATTAACACTAACATCAATATAAGTAGATAAATTACTGTCAGTGACTGTGTTGTGGGAGTTAGTAATAGCTCAATGATATAAATAGGGAGACTCACTGCAGTTGGCCTCGTCCGCCAGCATGGGGCAGTCTGGGAATCCGTCACAGATCATACTGGCTTTAATACACACCTTACTGCCAGGACACTCCCACAGACCGCGCTCAGAACAGCCTGGCAGAGAAAGTGTGGTGACATCATGAACCTGAGATCATGTGACTCTGCTCCTACAGAAAACTACATGTCAGATGTTCACAGCAGTGACGGTGGTACTGCTGCTTCAGCTGCAGCGCTCTGGGGGACTCACCACAGTTGTCCTCGTCGCTGTGGTCGTCACAGTCCAGGTGTTCGTCACAGCGTTTGGTCGCCAGGACGCAGCGACCCGACCGGCACTTGAAGTGGCTGGGGGAGCACTCTGTGGCAACGCAACAAAAACAACAACAACAAGGAAAACATCAGAAAGCTGACAGAATTTTTTTTTTCTTCTTACATTAGGATGCACAGCCACATTCTTCAACATCAGGACAAACAAAGACACAATGAGAGAAACCGTCGGTACCGTCGACTCCTTCCTCGGCCAGCAGGCAGGTTGTGTTGCCTCCCTCCTCTGGAAACTGACTACAGTCTGAGTCCTCGGGCCACTGCAGTCCCACAAGGCCTAGAACCGACTCACACTTCCGCTTCGCATTACGACACAGCGACCTGCAGGACCAAAAGACAGAAGGCCAGAATAAGAGAGGGAGAAGTACAGTGATTAAAACCCTTAACAATAACAAGTCCAGGGGCCGTGTTAGAGAAAGTTCTTAAGTCTTAAATTAAGACAGGAAGAGTCTAAGATAGGATTTTTCCCAATTTGGTATTACAGAAGCAAATCCTGACTTTAGGAATCCTATCTTATCTCAGGTTAGGAAATCCTAAATACTCAGTCCAAACCCCTTATCAACTTTGATGTCTGTTACCTAGCAACCGATGCCACTTTTCTCATCTCGCCGAGCTAAACGGCTTTTAATCGCTGTTTTGTGGTCGTTTCTTTTAACGAAACATACCCTGAAAATGGCGCAGAAACAACATCTATCATTGGTCATCAATCCAAATTGACATAACGTTTAACACGGGAGATCAAAGACAGAGAGTGGGCTAAGATAGCGGACACGCCCGTATATCCGGCATCCAGCAGAGCGTTGATGCTGTCAAAAAGAAAAAAAGTCCATTTACAAGTGATGCGAAGAGAAAGGCAACTGTTGTGTCCAGAGAGCAGAGAAAACCGGCACAAACCCTTATTGTGGGAGAGTTAATAATGAAGGTAATAAAATAATAATATTAATAAAGGCTAACATCATCACGTTTAAATGGTTTCTTGTCTTTAACGATCTATCAAAGACTTGCATTAGGATACTTTTGTTACATCAAGCCTTTACATTATGTTATATAATGAGACATTATGAGCCTTTCTACTAACAAGTGTTTTGTCATCAAACACATCATTAGAT